CCTTCCTAGACCAGGATGGAGCAGGGAGGACTTTGGACTTTCCACAGGGCAGGGAACCCTGACTGCCCTTCAGACTGGAGAGGGAGGGGGAGAGGAGTGGAGGAGGGGGAAAGGAGAGGGAGGAGGCGGGGAAAGGGAGACGCAGAGGGAAATGGGAGGATGGGAGGAGGCGGAAATTTTTTTTTCAATAAAAAATTATATTAAAAAAAAGAAGATTTAGAAAGACAAATACCACTCCTTTTCTCTCACTTGCAGAATCTATCTTTGTGTTTATATATTATAAGAAAGAAAATGCAGTGCTATGTGCAGAAGTATATGTGTTCAATCTTGTACATAATCTGTCTATGTGAATGTACAAACATAAATATAGAAATGCATAGATATGCATAAATATATATGTGTTGTGTCAGAAATGCAAGACGAGGACTATTTGGGAGAAAAAAGAGGAATGGAGTGGGAAGGAGAAGGAGACAATAACATAAAACAAAGTATGATGAAAGTAAGATGATCTGGTGACAGCTAAATCAATAAAACTTCTGAAGACACAGAAATTGCTGGGAACTGGTGCAGGCAAGTTCTCTTTAACTAGTAGAAAAAATAACCTCATATCATTTCAAACTTTCTAGGAATGTGGTCTACAAATCTTTTTCAAGGCTGCCAACACATATTAGAAAGCAGTTTATCTAAATATGTCTAAACTTTTAAAACTAAAAAGACCATTAATGATATGTGTAAATTATGTGAAAATTAAGTTCTAGTATCTACAAGCATTGAACATAGTATGTTCATAATCATTTGTTTACATGTTAACTGTGACTGCTTTTCTACTGTAATGAGAGCTTCTGAAGGGGCAGCAAAATCTTCTTGGCCTAGAAAGGCTGAAATCTGCCAGAACAATTATGGCAAAGAACATTGGTTCCTTCTTATCCTATTTGTTTTGATGAGATCAGTAGCTCTATTCTCATCTAAGAAATCATTATCCTATTTCTCAGAATGTACAATCAACTCGGTTGTTTCATAAAGTACAAGAATAGAATATTCTACATCCCAAAGAAACCTGTCATGTCATGAACCTGAAGGAGAGTGATGATGGAGTATAAGTTTAGCTGGTACAACACTCACTTCTAGCTAAGCTTTAAGCCCAAGGAAGATATGAGCAAATGTGCCATTTACTATTTTGACCTTTGTTATACTTATTATTTAGTTAGGTCTAAGTATGTAAACTTAACCAAATTCTGTACGTTAACCACAGACCTCAGCAGTCTTACCTTGAGAATGTCCCTTAGCCAAACAGATAAACTAACTCATATACTAAGTCTGTTATCATACAGAAAACCTACTGCCAAATGGAGAATTAAGTTCTATCATCAGCACATGATGTTAGTAACTGGAACCTTAACAGTATCATTTTGAGCCATTCCACCCTCCCTCAAAAAAGAAGAATCCCAGTAGAGACCAATGTCATGCTTTATGAATAAAATTATTCCAATAAAATTCTACATTTTTCAGCTGCAATTTGTGATATCTTCAAAATAGCACTAATTCGCCACAGAAGTAAGTACAACATAATGACATCATGAATCAATTTAAACTCCTTTTTAAGGCAAAAGCTTGGTTTTAATATAAAAATAGAATAGAACAAATTTGAGGAAGAAAAACTATGAAGAGAATTTTCTTAAACTAGAAGTCATAAGCAATGTGTAGTGGAGAATTCCATTATAAATGTGTTTATACCATATACAGTCGGTGATCAAAAGTATAGAATACATAAACCATAAAATGGGCATAAAGAACCATTTTGAAAATAATATACAGACTTTTGTGAATAAAATTCATCTCAAAGTGAAAGTCTATGTACCTGGGTCATACTCAAACATAATTGGCTCCACAGTAAAGTATCTCATAAACCATAAAATAAATCAGATCAAAATTTTTCATCTGATCTACACAACTATCAGTGTATCCTAGGACTTCAAAATTGATAAAGAGATATTAAAGTCATTATCCTTCATCCTAATGAGAAATGAGACAAAAAATGTTCATTGCAAACAGTTTTGTTCATCACCATCCTGCAATTCATCACACTGAAGACAAACTAAGAACACAGGAATATGAAAAGTATATAGAAAAGTATTAGCCCACATAACACCTTCAATTTCACATACATCTACAGAAACATTATTAGAAATAATAAAACTCATATGCTCAGATAAGATTAAGACAAACAGAATGATCACATAAATTGATTCTATTGAGCTAATGGAAAGAAAATCAGAATCGGCACTAGAGAGATAATAACAGAAAGATACTCACCATTTAGGAGACCTCGGAAATGTTTACAGACTACATCAATGAAAAGAAACAGGGCAGAGATAAATATCACAAATAAATGATTGAATGACATAACTTTATTGATGAGTTGAAGAATCCAGCATATCAATTCTTTCCAATTTGGAGATTTTTTTTTCTCATAATGATAAAAAGTCAGAAAAGACTTTTGGAAAATTGACAAAATGTGGACCTTCAAACAGAGATGCCTAAACTTTGCCAAACAGCATTTGGAAGAGAGAGCAAATGTGGGAGTGTCATTACCAGTTCTATCTGTACCTGCAGTAGAGCTGCCCCTCTCACCGTGAAGCAGTATAAGCCATCAGCAGCACCAGATAACTCAGATAACACAGGATAACACTGTGAACCTGTGAACATCAAGAGCACAGAGGTGCAGCAGAGAAGAGACAAGCTTACCTTGGGGATGAGGTAGTTCCTGAATTTAATGTCACAGGTCACTGCATGGGGCAGGTTTGTGGGGAGAAGGTTGATGAATCTCTGGACCTCATGAATCATGGCATCTGTATAGGGCATGTGGCTCCTGTCCTGCATGCAGGGGCTGCGGTGTTTGCCAACCACACGGTGAATCTCTTCTTGGACTTTAGCTATTCGGTCACAGTGACAAAGGGGGAAATGGGAGAAAGGTAACATTTTTGGCACAATGTTAGACCATGCACAGCACAATATAGGTGTTACAAAATAAGTGTAAAAGTGCATTTTTCATTCATGGATAAAAGTATTTATACATATATTTATACAGAAATTCTGTGTTGTGGATTTATATCAGTATCCTCTACAGATATTATGATATATCAGGATATTTTTATTATTTAGTAGCTGTAACAGCAAATAAAGCATAAGTAATTAAAAAGATCAAATAAAACAATATAATTCTTCCAAATAATTTAGTCTATGGTAAAGGACATGAAAAGTCAGATACTAAATCTGTACCTAAATACAATATTCTCTTGCAATCATATCCTATTGTATATATATTTACGAATATGTGTGTGTTGCATGTGTCCAATTTGAAAGATTCTTCATGTTTGTTCCCACACTCGAATATTCACACAGAAACTGTATTAATTACAACACTGGCCAACAGCTTAGGTGTATTGCTAGATAGGTTTTACATCTTAAATTAACCCTTTTCTATTAATCTGTATTTCACCTTGAGGTTGTGGCCTACCAGTAAGGTTCAAGCATCTTTCTCCTTCAGTGGTTTATGGCATTTGCCTGACTCTGCCTTCTTTCTTTCTCTATCTCTACTTGGATTTCCTTCCTGCTGTATTTTGACATGTCATAGGCCAAGTAGCCTATTTGGTAATAAAATATATTCTCAGCATACAGAGGGGAAATACAACATCATACTATTTCTTATATTACCACATAACACAACTATTATGACAATCATACATTGGGAAATGAAATTCCGGCTACATCTCATCATCTACATAAACAAATACAAGCTAAACACACCACACATACACTTTTCTCTTTTCCCCTCACTTCATTAACAATAACATATTGGAACCTCATAAAACTAAAAAGTTTCTTCATGGAAAAAACACCATGATTAAAAGTAAATGGTAGGCTATAGAGTGGGAAAATATTTTTAGCAACCACACATTCAATAAAGGGCTAAGATCCAAAATATATAAAGAATTCAAAAAATGAGATATCAAGAAAACAAGTAACCCGGTTAATAAAGGGGTACAGATCTAAGCAAAGAATTCTCAAAGATGAAATTCAAATTGCTGAGAGGAGCTTAGAAAGATGTTCAAAAGCCTTTGTCATCAGGGAAATGCATATCAAAACTGCTTTGAGGTTTCACCTTACAGCCATCAGAATGCTGAAAATCGATTTTTGAAAAAGTGACACCTCAAGACAGCAAAGACATAAGAATCCAGCTGATCTTGAGAATAATTCTGGTGTAGTCTCAATGAGGAAAGTTTATGTGTGACTCAAGTATTTTCCTGAAGGGTGCCATGTTTCTACTCACTCCTGAAAACACCATGAATCTGTGTCTTGGATGGGTGCTTTCAATCCATTGTGTAAATATATGGAAAATATTTTCGATTATATTGGTAAAATTAGGGGCATTGATTTATTCCTTTTTTCTGGATGAGTGACCCCACTGCTCATATACATGGAGCAAGGCAGAGAAAAGGACCTGAGATCTAGAATTTGGGACTCAAACGCTGCCAGCCTCCGCTTTCATTCCTATGCATTGTTCATTCCCTGCCACTCATCAGTGTATCAGGTAAAGAGCTTCTTACCCTCAGTTTCTTGTAAGAATTTTATTTTCCTGGAGAAGTGTGATATGATGAATGGGACTGGGAAAGGAATCTCAGCAATCCAGCATCCTATATTCATCTTTGTTCTCTTCTTAATCTGCTATTGCTTTGGAACCAGAATCTTTACAGGTCTGTAGATACAGAGTCACAGCTTGTGTGTCTTACTACATGCATGTTCAAATAACATTAATGTTTCAACATCATCTTTCCTGTTCTACATTTTTCTTATCCCTCATAATAGTGTTTCAGAAATTTGGTTATTCCTCTTGGCTGCTTGTTTTCATCTTTTCCTATTTAAAAAATATGGTACATGGTTGTGCTTTTATAATGTATTGGGCACAGAAGGGAGAGTGTGTTTTGTATCTGCTGGACCACTGAATCTGTTTTAAAATACAATGCAAAGGAAAACACTATTGGTACATTGTAAAAGATCATTGCTCAACAAAAGTTTAAGGAAACGGACTTCTGAATTGACAAAATTTCTGAATCTACATTTTTCCACATCGATCAAAATATCATTCTAGAGAATCTAAATATTTTGGAACCTTCTTAGAATGCACATTATCCCAGCCAGATTCAATAAAGTCTAGGCTTTTTACTTAGGCTTCAGTGAGGAGAGTTTTCTTTTCTCCATCCCAAAGTTAGATTCATCAGAATGAGAGAAAGAAACTAAAAGATTTTTGTTGACATAAAAACATAACTTGAGAATAAAAGGACATGTATCCACAGGNCCCAAAGTTAGATTCATCAGAATGAGAGAAAGAAACTAAAAGATTTTTGTTGACATAAAAACATAACTTGAGAATAAAAGGACATGTATCCACAGGACAACATATACTGGTCATGCCTATTTCAGTTCAGAAATCTCAGACACTGACCAGAATTGATTGTTTTTCTTAAAGTTTTTTTCTCTTAGTCATGCTGCTTATAACAATGAATGTGAAGGACTGAGACACTTCTGTAATAAAAACAACACACAGGGCACTAGCAGAGTCTTTCCGCATCTTATAGGGACACGGTGGTCACCCCCCGTGTCCTCACCTGTGACATCCGGGTGCTTCAGCAGGAGCAGTAAAGCATATCTCAGGGTTGTGCTTGTTGTCTCTGTCCCAGCAGCAAACAGGTCAAGTACAGTCGTTGCCAGATTTTCAAGTGTAAATTCTGATTGTTGATTGTGGCTTGCCTAAGAATAATTTGATGGAATAATCTGATAAATTCTTTATCAGCACATCTGATAACAATGACTCCACAGTTTCATGCAAATTTATATATTTATTACAGAAAGTGTAAAATTTAAAGTAAAATTCCATAACATTCATTCCCAATGGTTATTCTAGCTGTATGGAAGTTTATTGAGTTGTATAGATTTTTGGGTCTAGTTAATTTGGCATAATGTCTTATTTATGTGCAAAATTTTTAATAGTAAGACTTCAACAAAAATTTATTTTATTTTGTTGCCAACAAAGATAGTTAAATGTAGAGTAGAGAAGAAATTCACAAATAATTTCAAAGACTGTGACAAAGATTTTCATGAGTTTCAATTTTACCCTAAGTTCCCAACTAGCCTAAATCTTGCAATGATGTGATTATCTGAACTTAAATGTATAAAGTTTTGTACTTTAATGCCTTAAAAACATAAATGAAACATTTTATTCATTATGTATTCTGTCCTCTCAAAATCATTCAAAAAGAAGAAGAATATGAGATAGATCTAATCTTGGGATATACCGATTCATACATAAAATTGAAGAACTGTGTTCTTGCTATGATAAAGAACAGTGGAAGACATTTGACTCTAGCTCTGAGCATTCTCTATTAAACTAAGATGGGTCTGTAATAAGATTCTTTGTCCTTGAGGTAAATAAGCCTATTCTATTTCAATGCATTAATAACTAAATTTTTTTAGATTTAAAAAGTAACATATCCTTGCATGTGTTTCCCACAATTCCTACAAACCACCCCATTGAAGAGTTCTAGACTGATTATCTGAGCTATTTTGAGGAACACAGCGGGAAACAAACACAAATGCACAGGTGTTTTCATACGCTGATATTCTTTGGAGATAAGCTCAGAGGGCAAAGCTCTCTCAGGTTTCATGTAGATGCAGTTTTCCATGTGGATGCTGTTCTGTTGCCTGAGGTTTGTGTCCTGCCCAGTTCCCACAACCATTTATCCCCAAAGAAAATCACACAGAGGTCTACATATGTTATAACCTGATTGGCCCTTTAGCTCAGGCTTCATATTAGCTCGTATAACTAATATTAGCCCATTAATCTTATCTATGTTAGCCACATGGCTTGGCACCTTTTTTGGCAGGGCGGGTCACATCTTCCTTCTTCAGTGTCTGGGCAGGACTGGGGAGGAATGGGCTTTATGCTTCTCAGAATTCCCCTGTTCTCATTGTCCCACCTCTATTTAGTGTCTGGTTGTCCAGCCTATACTTTCTGCCTGGCTACTGGCCAATCAGTGTTTATTTAAAGCATAATTGACAGAATACAGAATTGTCCCACACCAAGACCCACCCACATAAGACCCATATCTGTCACTGTTATGTGTCTAAGAATTGGTGGGATCTATTGCTCTAATATACTAGTGGGAAAAGTGTTTAAATAATAGCTAATGACTTACTACTATATTCATAGAACAGAAATCTGACATTTTTGATCAGAAAAACTTCTCCTTGCAAAAGATGTAAATCAATACAGAGACATCCAACTGTTCAATGTACAGAGAATGAAGCATTGTGTCCTGATCACCCCTAAATCATAATATAATCCTCCCCAGAAAGTTTAAGGATCTTTGTGGAAGAGGGGGGAGAAATATAAGAATCTTCTGTGATCAGTAACTTTAAGGAATCAGTGTTTTCTGGACACAAAAGGACAAATGAACATGAGAACTTACAACGACTGTAACAGCCTGCCCCAAAACTGTGTACGCTCCATCAGATAAAAACACAACACAAAGTAGGGATAGAAATTATGAAACCCCAATTCTGACTGATTAGTTCCTGGCAAGAGGGAGTCAATTTCCTACAAATATATGGCTCCTTGTTGCTTGATTGCATGACAGGCCTGAGGTTAGATGAACAACAGAAATTGGACTTAATGCAGCAAAAGTGAAAAAAAGAAATCACAAAGTTTGGTAACAAGAGTTAAGAGGATGGTGAGGAGGGCAATGAAAGTTGAGGAATATGTTCAAATTACATCTCCTGAAATTCTCAAAGAATTAATAAAAATTTTGAAAAAGTAAAACAAATGTATCAAACATAAAATAATTATATAAACATGTTATTGCAGAACTACAGTATTGAAAGCAATGAAGTATTTTCACACAAATCAATATCAATACCAATAAAGCATTGATAGCAAAGAGTTAACTTATACACCTGCAGCCAATATTTTAAAACTGAGTTCCAAGACTAAAGGAAGTCTAAAGGAAGAGTCTTTATCGGATGATGACAGAACAGCAGAATACCTATATGAAAGAAGGATGCTAGAAGCGAAAAAAACCATGGACCAAGGATGGGCCTCATTTCTTATGATTTGTACTCATAAATTACAGAACATAATTTCAAAACCCAGATAAACCAGACTTCATCCAAAACAAAATGCTAATGCATTCTGGACACAACTGAGAATGTACAAATGATAACCTACAGAATGGAAATATGTTTCCATGTTATTTGTGTGGAAAGGTTTCTATCTAGATACATAATTCCATAGCTCCACACATCAAACAGTCCAATGGGCAAAGATATTAGAATAAAAATTCTCTGAAGACATGAAAAGGCAAAACACCACATTAAAAGATGTCCATTTTCAATGTTTGTGAAGGAGATGCAAATCTAATCAGTCTTGAAGTACTACTTCATACTAACTGAAGTGTTGTAAATATTTGTTGTTAATTATTGTTAAGTTTTAAAGTTACAGCTTCTGTCAGCTATTTGGGAAATAGGGGATCTCATAGATATGAAATACCAAATTAATGTGAATTTTTAAGCAGTTTCTCAAAAAAGAAAACCATAAAGCTATTATCATTAGACTCAGAAATCTCAGTCCTGAAGATAAAGTAAAAGGAAATGATGTAAACATATGTTAATATAGAGAGACCTTAGAGAAGCCTCAGGCAGAAATAACACAAATATCCGTCAATGAGGAATAAGTGCATTGTGCTATTAATGAATGAAGATGAAGTTTGCTACAAAAAGGAGGAAGTACTGAAACAAGATGAACTTAGACAAATGTCCAAGATTTCATGCAAGTACGAGAAAACAGAAGTTAAATGCCACATATACTGAGTCAGTTTAGATGATACATTCATTGCATGGAAGTCTGTACCTACAGAAACCACACTAACAACTGCTAAAGATGGTCTGAAGGGAAAGGAGTGATCAGTAGTGGTGTGGTGTGCTTTATCATAGTAAGGGATTGCTTTCCAACGAAAAGGAGCCAGAAGTTGCAAGTGCTTTGTAACCACATACGGTACCAACGTAATGTAAGTGAAACATGGCTACTACAATCCTGAGATACCACTTCACACTCAGTGGACTAATTCTGTAAGCTATATCTTACAAACTAGCCAGGCAGTGATGGTGCATGCTTTTAATCTCAGCACTTGTGAAGCAGAGACAGACTAATCTCAGTGAGTTTGAGGTCAGCCTGGCCTACAAATCAAGTTCTAGGATAGCCAGGACTGTTACACAGAGAAACCCTATCTCTAAAAGTCAGATAAAAAACAAGAAATAGGAAAAATAGTCTAGCAAAAAACCCGCAACATCGGGTCACTCAGATGCCAGGTTATTAAGTATTACGACACATAAGACCAGTGGAGTAGAATCAATGCCCACAACCAATCCCAATAATCTAGACTCAACTGGATTTTTCAGTTCCAAGAAAATTCCATGGAAAATTATCTTTTCAATAAACTAAACAATGCCAATGCAGTTCATGCCATCAGGATACCTAATAGATACCAATCCTTACCCCCTTTTTGTGAAAATTAACTTGAACTGTACTCGAAACTTCATTCTTCCATACACACTCTCTTCCCACCACATATCTCCCTTATATCACTCAGTCCTTCTGAAACTAACTCCTGTAGCTGTCCTTTTAAAATAACAACATATCCAAATTTATTTTAACTCACTGGACATGCAGGAATTCTAGCCACACAACCACATTATGGTGCCACTATTCACACTGCCACGATAGTTGGCTATTTTCTACTTGATTAGAATTTTTCCCATATTACCTGCCCTTTGTATTGCTGTTCTCAGCTACAATTTTTAAAGAACAGAGACAATGTGTTATAGTTAACAAATTTCCTTTATATTATCAGTATCCATGTGGTGCATCTCAACACATAATAAATACTAAAACTGTTTTTCAAATGATACTGACTTGAACCATCTCTAACAAACATTTCAGTGTTCAACAAACCACAACACGCTCAGACAATAAAATAAATTTATATAAATACTTTACCTGCTTTAGTTTAATCAAGTAATAATCAATGAAGTCCCGAGGGTTCGCAACATTCAATGATTCCTGATGCTCTTTTATTCTTTCCAAAAGGTAACTTCTGATATACTCAGCATTTTTTAATGCTGTGTTATGACTTCCTGGACAATAGTCAATTAGTGAAGGGAAATTATTGCAGACCTACAAAATCAGAGAGAGAAATATTTTGTTGAGATTAATTGTTTTACTTTTAGTCATGTATGTGTTCTGTATATGGTATGTATACATACATACATGTGTGTGCCATGTATGTGTGGGTACATTGGAGGCCAAAAATATCAGATCACCTGAAGCTAGTGGTTTTGGACCATCTAACATGGGTGCTGAAAATTGGACTTAGGTCCTTTGGAAGATCAGCACACACTGACCTATTCCTCCAGTCCTTGCCAAAGAACTTTTTAAATGAGGAAATACATATATCCATAATATATTGCAAGACAAAAATGAATTTATAGATTCAGAAATGAAGGAAAAATAGCGATCAACAAAAGGAAGAGGTGTTTTATTTCATACATATAGCAATTCTCTGTGGTAGTAGGAAGAACTGGCGTGGGAGGGAATTCCTGCCCTATTGATGAAAGATCATGATCAAGTTTCAATATTCATGAATCCTTCTTTAATATAATGATTATTTGTGAAAACTGACTGATGGCTCATACCATTTATTCTCTAAAGTCTGAAGTATGACATGATGCAAATCATTGTTATTTACACTTTTTAGATGATGGCTGTAGTGAAATGAGTTGGGCAACTTGATTTATATCGTAATGTAGCAATGCATATTTAACTCTTATAAACTAGACTATGACATGGAATAAATCATTAGAAGTGGGTGGAACTCCAAGAGAGTTTGAAAGCAAAAGTGTGGCATAGACTTTCCGGGTTTCTCTATGATCACAGGTATTCTTTCTTTACTTGCTTTTTATTTACTTTTGTGTCCCTCACACTATGCATCCCCATCCCATTCACCTTCATAACCCCACGCATCCACCCTCAGTCCTTAAACTCCTCCCCACAAAATAAAATGGAATAAAATTTAAGAGTAAAAAGAAAAGAAAAAAATTTTATCATGGAAGCTGTATTGTGACTGAGTCAGGCAGTACACCCTTTTATCCATTTATCATTGTTTCGCAAGCATTCATTGCGAAGAGTCATTGACTGCCTCGGGGTCTCTGCTTTCTGCTACACTATCAATACAGGGCCCTTACTGGGAATCTTAGATATCCTGTCACTACCCTGCATCATGAAGACCCCGAAGCCTTAGATCTGCAGGACCGGCTCCTCCCCATGTTCCAACAGATCACAGGTGGGGTAGATGTTGAGGGGCATCAACTCATAACCCTAGATCTTGGCCTAAGTATTTGCACTGTCGGCCAATTATTCAACTCTCCCCCTCTACTCACAATGATGAGCTCTCTGACATAGCTCTGGCTAGTTCACTCTGTAGAAGGAGCTGCGGGCTGCGTTCCTGCCCAGCTCCTGCACAGCTAGGTTTATACCCGAAATAACAACACTGAAATTGTATTCTTTTAAACACTGCCTGGCCCATCATCTCTAGCCTTTTACTTGCTAACTCTCACATTTTGACTAACCCATTTCTAATAATCTGTGTAGCACCATGAAGTGGTGGCTTACAAGGAAAGATTCAGCATGTCTAACCTGGCAGCTGGCTCCATAACGGCTGGCTCACTGCCTTCTTTCTCCCAGCATTCTGTTCTGTCTACTCTGCCTAGCTAAGCTGCTGTTATATCAAAAGCCAAGGCAGTTTCTTTATCAACCAATGAAAGTAATACATAGACAAATGACCCTCCTCCATTACCACTCTTTATAATAAGGAGCAGCTTTCCTACCCTCAGAGTTGGCTCTCACATACCTACATCATCAGGGCAAGATCGACTGTATTACCCAAGCTGCCTGCAGGGGCCACTCTTCCAAGAGCTGCAGCTGATAAAGGGCTGGGATAACTCTCCTAATATTATGAGAATAGGATCATCCCTGCAACCTGCCACAAGTTACAAGTGAGGGTAAGCAATCTTTCCTACACCCATACCATAAGAAGATGAAAGGAGGGACCAGATCTCACATACTCACATTATCTAGGTTAGTTCACCTGCAGCCCAGCACCCTAATCAATAGGTTCAGAGTAGTAAAACTCTGCTTTACTACCTATGGAGGTGCAGGATCAGCTTTCTAAGGCATTGAATCTGGTAAGGAGCTCCCTCATACACCACAGGTAGCAGTGGCAAAAGGAGGAGGACATTTTTCCCTAGACCTTACAACCACATGGCAGATTAGTGGGTGTTGCCAGCTATTCCACTCTCACGACCTCAGGGCCAGCTCATCTGTGGTTCACTCGCCTGTGCTGCCCAGGCTAGGAGCAGGGCAATGAGTGCTACAGCTGGTAAGGGGAGGGCCAGCCCATTCATGTGAATCCGGCAGTGAGAGGCTAATGATAAAGGAGACATCTCTCCTCCAACCATACCACCCCAAGACAGATGAGTAGTGATTCTCCCACACTCGGAACTTCAGGAATGACTCGCCTATACCCCTGTAAACAATGTCATCTCTACTGTGTTGATCAAGCAATGTCCTGGCTCTAGTGTCTTGAGTTTTGCAGCTGGTGGAGACAAAGAAAACTCTCCCAATCTTATGACATCCTGGACAGCTCTCCCATCTGCCAGAGTCAGTGGGCAGCATCTCTCCCCGATCCATGATACCACAGGGCAGAAGAGGGGCAGTTAATGTCAGATCCACCAAGCTCAACTTTGTATGCCTGGCTCACCCATGCCCCTGTCAACAGGACCTGATCCACTGTGCTGGCACGAGGGGAAACAGGATCCATTCTCCCTAGTGTTTTGGTGAGTGACAGCATCAACCCTGTACAGCTCTTTCCTCTTTGCCTAAGGTGGTTTCAGGAGCTGTGGACATCAACACAGATCAAGGCTGCAGCAGATCTATGTACCCAGACATGAACTCTGGCAGCAGCCATGCTTCAGCGAACACCCAAGTTTAGCCCTGGTTAGCAACCAAGTAGCCCACCTCAACCCACTCCTCACTATTTACCTCTTCAAATGTGCCTCTCTCCACAATACATGAACTGTTTTTCTGTCTCTCCCATACCACACCATACATTTGCTCACCATAGTAGTGCCTGACTGCCTGGTTCCTTGATTTACTGGGCAGCCTGGATCACAGCCATTCTCGTGGAGAGTTCAGGAGATGCCACTTCAGTCTAGGACAACTCTGAGATGTATGTGGATTGTGGGCCACACAGCATTAAACCACTCATCTTCTCATTTCTACATGTCTATTTGTTAACTAGGATTCCAGCAGACATATCAAACCACTGAAACTACTCAGTGTTTCTTGGCAGATTTCATTGCCATAAATATTCTTTTGCCTTTAAGGAACTAGTCGTTCTAAACTAAAATATTCCTGCCTAGTAATATGATAAAAAAAATGTGTTTAATGGCCAAAAAGATAAGAATTATGCATAGAAGAATGTCCTGTGAACACCTGGCCAAACTTCCAGATGTGAATGCAATACTTTATACAAAGAATTCTCTGAATATCAAGTGGAAAACCAAGAGATACGAAACTTGTAGCCTTGAACCAATCTGAAAACTGCTTTTCAGTTTTGCTATTTGTATAACAAAGGATTTAGACCTGCCTTCCTGATATTCTCTACATAATGCGTTAATCAGAGCTGTGTTGTCTAGCCACCCCACTTCTCAGTACATATTAAATTTGATCTTTGAGAATGAAAGAATGAAAGAACAAAAATATGTTTTCAGGAGGAAAAGATCTTGACTTCACCTGCATCCAGGGGGAGCTTATAATCTTGACATTCTCATTTAATTTTTCCATCAAGTTAAGAAAATTCTGATCTTTATAATCAAAACGATTCTGGAAAACAGTGGAGCAGATGACATTGCAGGGAGCACAGCTCAAGATGAACGTGGGGTCACAGGGTGAACCTGAACAAACAATTGGAAAAAACATACCATTAAAATGGACAAAGAGAATTTTTTTGGTTTTGTTAACAGGTTAAAAAGTCATTAGAAGTTGTAAACCATATCCTATCTACAATTTTCCTACCAGCTATGCATTCATTATATTGGAATCAATGTATCATTTTAATCTTAAATTTGAGGTGGCCTCATCCTCAGTAGTTGAAGAAGAACAGACCATATCTGATACAGCAATTTTTACACTTTAAACTAACTGGTACTTGAAAGAAAACAAAAGGTTTTTAAACTTGAAATTTCTAGTATTTGGAAAAGAATTGTTTCTTACTGGAATACCCAATGACCCTGTAACACTCAGATGAAAATAGAAAAGTGTACACCTGGAAGAACTCAGCCACAATGAGTAAACCAAAGAAGCAAGTATTGATCCAAGGAAAGAGGAAACTCGCTGCAGGTGAGTTCTGGTATTAGAAGAAGAGATGTGGGAAGAAATCTTCCTTGTGTAATTTCAAGAACAGCCCCTTCCATGTGGATTTGTTTGCATTACTAAATAAAGTGAAAACTTTCTTATTACAGTTAAATTCCAAGAGGGAAAACAATATGAGGGCAGTAATAGAAACTTTCCTTTTCTCATTTCATTATTGAAAACAATGCATTTTCTCTAGAGGAAGTAAACGTAGTACTTGAGAAGACACAAAATATAAGAAAGTCAGTGCTAGATAGAGAGCTGTGCATTCAAAGTAATTTCTGCTGTTTTAGAGACCAAAGTTCAGTTCTGAGCAGCCTCCCAGTGGCTCATAACTTTCTGTAACCCCAGTTTCAGGGGAATAGGATACAATTTTCTTACTTCTGTGCCACCAGGTACACAAGTGGTGCACACATGTATATGCAGGCAAACATTTATACACATAAAGTAAAAATAAACAATCTTTTTAGTTAAAACAAAGAGTCCCATGGGAGGATTCAATCAAAAAAATGGGAGTGGGGTGACCAGAAAGGTGAGGGTAGGAAGGTGTGTTCGAAACACATGTTACACTTCTATGAAATACCTATATGAAGCACACAGTATATACAGCATTAGCAACAATAATGTTTATTTTTTAAAAGATGTAAATGATGATTATGTTCAAACTCTACACAGCATATTTGAGAAACAGTGTAGTTTCTAGATTT